TCCTTGGTCTTTACCTGTCCTGAGATAGTGCGGCCTTTCCATTGCTTCCCTTTGTCCAAGTCCTTGTGCCAGAAGGTAGACACTGACATAGACTTGGCCTCAAAGGCCACCACCTCACGGCTAAGATAATCGTACGTAGTGGCAGGGTCTTCGCTCTTTGCGAAGAAATGCCCTCGAAGGGCTTCGGGTATAGCCCGGTAGAAGAGGCCGACCAACTGGGTGTCCGTAACCCCGTGGTCAGGGACAGCCACAACTCATCCATTGTACTCTTAAGGGCCCTAGCACTCTTCCACTTACGAGAGTGGATCGTCTGCAGCCTATCTGAGGCTTTAACACTGCGGGCGACATCAGCGAATCTCTCGCGCAACAACTTCAAGAATTCGGTGAGGGACGTGAACGAGGAGTACGCAACGGGATCGTCACTACAGTTGGCAGCGTGAACTAGGGATCTTGCAAAACTGGCGGCCTCATCTCTCAGCGCGTGGATCGCAATTAGAACTTGCTGATCCGGGGAGACCTGTTGCAAGTGCACATAGGTCTTAACGTTGGCTTCCCAGTTGTCAAAGTTCTCTTCCCTTTTCCCACTGTAGGAATCAGGGAATTTGACCTTGACCGGTTCCCGGCGAGGAGGACGTGCTTCCTCCTCCTTGGGAGCTGCCGCCTTGACGCCCTCAATGGCGCCAACGCAAAACCGCTCAGTCTTGTCGAGGCGGTGGCCCACCTCAGTGCCTATAGCGCCTACCAACTCTCGAGCAAAGTTCCGGAATCCCAACTTTATTGAACGCACAGCTATGTGCTGACTCCGACTAAAGTCATATTCTTCCGCTTGAATTCGTGCCAGGCGTGCAACATTTCGAGCTATGACTCGCTTTTGGGCTGGGAGTTTAGTCTGGGCGGCTAGTTGCTCTTCTATGTTTTTTACCTCCTCTAATTCTTTTGCCGCCTCCGCTGCCGCGTCCACTCTCCTCTTCTTCTCCCTCATCACTGCCAACCTCCATTCCATTCTCTTCTCATCTTCCATTGCCTGCCGCTTTACAACATCTTTTTCTGCTTCCCAAGCTCTCATAGCGGCTTCCTGATCGTCCTTAGGGATATACATCGCCACTTCTTCTTCTTCGCCCAGGGATAAGTTGGCGACCCACTCTGAGATCTGCTTCTCCATCTCCTCATCCCTATTTCCACTGTACTGCCCCTTCTTCCTCTGCAGTGGCATTTCATCTTCTTCCTCCTCTTCCACCTCTTTCAACTTCTCTTCCTCTTCTTTCTGTATCCTCTCCTTCTCTCT